AGTCGCTTCAGTCATGTTGATTCTTTGTGACCGCATGGACTATAGCCCACCAGGCTCTTCTGTCCATGGGATTATCCAGGCAAGAATACCAGAGTGGGTTGCTGTTTCCTTCTCCAGGGGATCTTTCCAACTCAGGGATTGAACCCACATCACTTTGGGTCATATGTAATATGGGTGACAAAAAATGGAAATTATAAATACAGCCTCTGTACCTCAAGATAATAGTCCATTGACTCGGTGATGCCATCCAACCATCTCATCCTTTGTCATCCCCTTCTCCTCCTGCCTTCAGTCTTTCCCAGCATTAGGGTCTTTTCTCATAAGTTGGCTCTTCACATCAGGTGGCCAAAGTATTGGAGTTTCATCTTCAGCATCAGTCCTTCCAATGATTATTCAGGACTGATTTCCTTTAGGACTGACTGGTTGGATCGCCTTGCAGTCCAAAGGACTCTCAAGAGTCTTCTTTGACATCACAGTTCAAAAGCATCAATTCTTTGGTGCTCAGCTTTCTTTATGGTACAACTGTCACATCTATTTATGACTACTGGACTAGACGGAACTTTTTTGGCAAAGTAATGTCTCTGTATTTTAATATGCTGTCTAGGTGGGTCATAACTTTTCTTCCAAGGAGCAAGCATCTTTTAATTTCATGGCTGCAGTCACCATCTGCAGTGATTTTGGAGCCCAAGAAAATAGTCTCTCACTGTTTCCATGAAGTGATGGAACCGGATGCCATGATCTTCATTTTCTGAATGCTGAGTTTTAAGCCAACTTTTTCACTCTCCTCTTTCACTTTCATCAAGAGGCTCTTGGCTCTTTAGTTCTTCTTCACTTTCTGCCATGACTTTGTGTCATCTGCATATCTGAAGTTTTTGATATTTCTCCCAGCAATCTTGATTCCAGCTTGTACCTCATCCAGCCTGGCATTTCACATGATATACTCTGCATATAAGTTAAATAATAAGGGTGACAATAAAGGAGACTTGATGTACTCCTTTCCTGATCTGGAACCAGTCTATTGTTCTATGTCCAGTTCTAACTGTTGCTTCTTGACCTGCATACAGATTTCTGAGGAGGTAGATAAGGTGGTCTGGTATTCCCATCTCTTTAAGAATTTTCCACACTTTGTTGTGATCCACAAAATCAAAGGCTTTAGCATAGTCAATGAAGCAGAAGTAGACTTTTTTCTGGAACTCTCTTGCTTTTTCGATGAGCCAGTGGATGTTGGCAATTTGATCTCTGCCTTTTCTAAATCCAGCTTGAACATCTGGAAGTTCATCATTCACATACTGTTGAAGCCTGGCTTGGAGAATTTTGAGCATTACTTTGCTAGCATGTGAGATGAATGCAATTGTGTGGTAATTTGAACATTCTTTGGCATTGCCTTTCTTTGAGACTGAAATGAAGACTTTTCCAGTCCTGTAGCCACTGCTGAGTTTTCCAAATTTGCTGGCATATTGAGTGCAACACTTTCAGTGTTTTTGCTGGCATATTGAGTGCATTACCCTTCAGGATTTGAAATAGCTCAACTGGAATTCCATCACCTCCACTAACTTTCTCACAGTGATGCTTTGTAAGGCCCGCTTGACTTCATGTTCCAGGATGTCTGGCTCTAGGTGAGTGATCACACCATCATGGTTATCTGGGTCATGAAAATTTTTTTGTATTCTTCTGTGTATTCTTGCCACCTCTTCTTAATATCTTATGCGTCTTTTAGGTCCATACCATTTCTGTCCTTTATTGTGCCCATCTTTGCATGAAATGTTATCTTGGTATCTTGAATTTTCTTGAAGAGATCTCTAGTCTTTCCCATTATATTGTTTTCCTCTATTTCTCTGCACTGATCACTGAGGAAGGCTTTCTTACCTCTCCTCATTATTCTTTGGAACTCTGCATTCAGATGGGTATATCTCTCCTTTTCTCCTTTGCCTTTCCCTTCTCTTCTTTTCTCAGCTATTTGTAAGGCCTCCTCAGACAACCATTTTCCATTTTTGCATTTCTTTTTCTTGGGGATGGTCTTGATCACTACCTTCTATACAATGTCATGAGCCTCTAATCCGTAGTTCTTCAGGCACTCTATCAGATCTAATCCCTTGAATCTATTTGTCACTTCCACTGTATAATCATAAGAGATTTCATTTAGGTCATACCTGAATGGTCTAGTGGTTTTCCCTACTTTCTTCAGTTTAAGTCTGAATTTGGCAATAAGGAGTTCATGATCTGAGCCACAGTCAGCTCTGGGTTCGAGGTAGGTAGTAAATTAAATAACAAGTTTTGTTTATATAGATTTCTCTGCCTGTCTCTAGTGATAAGGATGTGTTTCTACTTTCTAGTACAGGGAGCGTACCTTTCACATGGGAGCTTTAGTTCCTGGTTTCAGGGACACTGAGAGGAGGTTCAAAGGTCCCTCTGGCACCCACCACTCCTTTAGTAACTTTAATTCAAAATAATCAATATGACTCTGAGGTATATTTTGAGGCAGCCTGCCCAAGGTCCAAGTAGTTTTAACTCAGGTTTCTGGATCCCAGAGCATCTACTCTTTACCACTCTATACCGACTTCCTAGGAGTAGCTGATGTGCTTCAAATATGCTTAATGTAGTACTGTTACCCATGATGACTGAGGTTATATCTTCCCCAAAGGATTGGAAAAGATTAGGGATGAACCTAATACACACTTTCTCTTCACAACAAACTAGGAAAAGTTCTATTTGCAAATTATATCCTTGAAAGCAAGTATGTATGTATGTTATTGAAATGGGAATCCGAGTTCTTGCCCTCAGATCTGAAGAATGGAATCCACACTCACAGTAGCAAGTGAACAGGATTTTTTAAAGAGAAAGAAAGTACAAAGCTCTCAATATAGACACTGAGAGGGGGTAAAGAGTCCCCCACAAGGCCAGACTTAACAGTAGTTTTTACATCCTTCCTTAAATCATTTTATTTCCAACCAATCAATTTAAAGGTCAAGATACTTAACAACTTTGTGACTTCTCTTTATCCTTCAATGGGAAAACAATGGAAACAGTGACAGACTTTATTTGGGGGGGCTCCAAAATCACTGCAGATGGTGACTGCAGCCATGAAATTAAAAGATGTTTACTTCTTGGAAAAAAAGTTATGACTAACCTAGGTAGCATATTAAAAAACAGAGACATTACTTTATCTACAAAGGTCCTATAGTCAAAGCTATGGTTTTTCCAGTAGTCATGTATGGATATATAAGTTGGACCATAAAGAAAGCTGAGTGCCAAAGAACTGATGCTTTTGAGCTGTGGTGTTGGAGAAGACTCTTGAGAGTCCCTTGGACTGCAAGGAGATCCAACCAGTCAGTCCTAAAGGAAATCAGTCCTGAATAATCATTGGAAGGACTGATGCTGAAGCTGCAACTCCCAATACTGTGGCCACCTGATGAGAAGAACTGACTCATTGGAAAAGACCCTGATGCTGGGAAAGATTTAAGGCAGGAGGGGAAAGATACAACAGAGGATGAGATGGTTGATGACATCACCGACTCAATGGACATGAGTTTGAGCAAGCTCTGGAAGTTTGTGAGAGACCGGGAAGCCTGGTGTGCTGCAATCCATAGAGTGGCAAAGAGTCATACAGGACTGAGAAACTTAACTGATCCTTGGATTAAGTCACCACTCTTTTTCATGCCCCCTGGCCATTTTACAATGGACCAGATGTATGGTCTTAAGATTAATAATCACCAGTTGTCTTTCCCTCAGGCATATGTAAGAGAAGTTAATTACTGCCCTCCCTTGTGACTTAGCTAGTAAAGAATCGGCCTGCAATGTGGGAGACCTGGGTTCTGATCCCTGGGTTGGTAAGGTTCCCTGGAGAAGGGAACTGGCTACCCACTGCAGTATTCTGGCCTGGAGAATTCCATGGAGGGTATAGTCCATAGGGTCTCAAAGAGTCCAACAGGACTGAGTGGCTTTCACTTTCACTTTCACTTTCCCTGGATCTTGATCAGACCAAAGACACATTCCAGAAATTCAGGGCAATGGAGGGGATGTTTACTGATAAAAAGTCCAGAGGTCTCAGAGTTCTCCACTGACTGCCTAGAAATTTCTACCTCATTATCGCTGTCGATGGTGCAAAGGGTTTTCTTCCACATGCTTTCAATAAACTACACTTTTCCTCTGGATAGATTTGTATCTTCTTTCTTAATTAGCCTTGGCTTTCTTTTCCGCTCAGTTCAGTCGCTCAGTCCTGTCCGACTTTGCCACTCCATGGACTGTAGCACGCCAGGCTTCCCCATCCATCACCAACTCCTGAGCTTGTTCAAACTCATGTCCGTGGAGTTGGTGATGCCATCCAAACAGCTCGTCTTCTGTCCTCTCCTCCTCCTGCCTTCAATCTTTCCCAGCATCAGGGTCTTTTCCAATGAGTCAGGTGGCTTTCTTTTAATTAACACCAAAAGGTTTCCCCCATTATGGTCCGAAATCCTAAGTACTTAAGAACTAAGCCATTACTTTCAGTAAAACCAGGAAAGAAATAAAAAAGGATGCATTCATAGTTCTGAGATAAGGAGATCCAAACAGACAGTCCTTAAGCCAATCAGGAGTCTCTGTATGCAAAACTGATTATCAGTGCGGGCGGGGGAGGAAGGAGAGGAGACATGGCTACCTAGATACCTACATATTGGCTTTAAGTTCACCTCTAAATCCTTAAGAGACCAATTTAAAGAGCTCTTAACTTGCAACTTGGAAGGTGTCCAAAACTTAGGAAAGCAATGAAACTTGGTGGAACATGTAGGCAGTCGTGATGGGCAGGCATGTTTTAACTTTCAAACTACCAAAACTGGGGACTTCAAGGCCACCTGTAAAGACTCCCGGACCAAAAAATTACTGCCACTAATAATAGTCCGCCATTATTTAAAAAATAGCTTTTTTTAAAAAGATGGAAGACGGTAACTTTGACTGACTTTATTAAGAGATACCTTGGTGGCATGTTTCACTTATGGGTATTTTGGTTCCTAGTATTTAAAATGCAGTCACAAATCCACTCTTGGGGGGGAATGCAATAAAGGGGCGACAGCGAACACGTATATGTATGAAGTATCAATTATTACCGTCGGTGTATTGGGTGGCGACGGCCAAAGTGCAGCTGTGGTTAACGTAGGTCGCGGGACCCTGAGCGGTTGGAGTCTCACTACACTCAGACTCGTCAGTCAGATCACTGAGCGCTACAAGCTCTCAAAATGGCCCCGGCTCTCAAAATCTATCAGCCTGAGCGCTCTCCTCTCCGGAGGAACGTCGCGTCACCAGGGCAACGACGCTCTTGCGTAGAGGCGCGACGCGGGTGAAAGTTCAGGGCTAGAGCGCGGATCCGCCACCGCCGCTTCTGGGCCTTAGGCGAGGCCCAAGCCCACGCAAGTCTCACAGTCCCAGGTCACGCGAGCGTTGGCCCAGCCCTGGAGCAATCCGAGCGCGCCTCTCCCCGCACTCGGCCTTGCCTGGTCACGCTGAGGCCCAGACGTAACCTCAGGGCGAGGGGCGGGACTAGCCTAGCGCGCGGCCCGCCCCCGAGGTCAGTTCCGTGCCCTGGGGCGCCTGCTGGAGTTGACGTTAGCCATGGAAACGAGGTGCCGGTCGCGACGCCACCGCGGTGAGCTGGTTGCCGTGGCCGCCACAGTTCCTCTGCCTCGGCGTTCGGACCGCAGGCAGCCTTTCGGCGGGAGCGCGCACCCCGAGTATACCTGCAAAAGTGCCGTCACCGGGATGCTTTCGCTTCGCCTCTTCCCTCAGGTGACTACAGGTACGTTAGATCCCTGATACCCACCTGGGCACTTCTTGGCCGCCTTAATTCCCAAGCCTGTGCAGGGTGATTTAAGACATGCGATGAGCTCTGTCTCTAAAGTTCATCAGTCTGGTGTGCTTTTAACTTTATTTCGTAAGGCTTCTTTAGACTGTTGAATTTTAGTTATTTTATTTCTAAGAGACACTTGCGAAAGGGAAAATGGCCCCTTAAGTCTTGGTTTAGGCGTGGGCTTGTTATCCAAACAAAGATTATGAACTATGGCCCTTACTACTGTATCAGTTTTCTCCTTTTCTCCACTTTTGCCCTAAATCAGTCAAATCATGGACTCCTGAACAGGAACAACTGTTTCCCCACCGATCTGCACTGTCTCTCCACAATCCTGTGTTTATTAAGGACCAACATTTACTTCAGTGAAGTCTACTCTACCAGAAGTTGCCAATCAGGCCTCTGAATTGCTTTTTTCTCTTATTCAGATGTATAATCTTAGATGGATTTTTTTCTCATTCCCGCCGTTAGGGCAGAGCCCATCCTTTATATTATTGGATGTCTACCATCACCCATGCCAAATCTCCGCATCTTTATCATAGCATCCAAAGCCAGTTCAGATGTTGCCATTTTAGTCGTTTAATTGTTTGGACACCTGACCATCACTTTATTTAATTTCCGAATTAAAGAACTGCCTACTAGTTATTAGCTGCCACAGAAAGTACCAGGTGGGGGACCTTTTCTGTTTCTTTTTCTTTTGTGAGAACTTTATTGAGATTAAAATTCAACATTCCATACAATTCAAATTTAAAACATTTTCATCACGCCCCCAAAAGCTCTGTATCCTTTAGCAGCCATTCTCCCTGCCCTCCAATCTTCACTGTCCCCACCAGCCCTAGGCAAACCCTAATCTGTTTTCTCTCCTTATAGATTCGATCATCCTGGACGTTTCACATAAATGGAATTGTACAGTATGTGGCCTTTTGTGATTGGCTTCTTCCACTTAGCATTCTGTTTTCAGGGTTCATTCATGTTGTATTAATAGCGTGCATCAGTATTTCACTGTTGTTTGTAGTCTATTAATATTCCAGTGTATGGATATATCTGGAGAAGGAAATGGCAACCCACTCCAGTGTTCTTGCCTGGAGAATCCCATGGACAGAGGAGCCTGGCAGCCTGCAGTCCATGGGGTCGCAGGGAGTTGGACATGACTGAAGCGACTGGGCATGCACCTATGGATATATCACGTTTTATTTCATCTGTTGATGGCCATTTATGTTGTTTCCATTTGGGGCAATTAACAATATTTCTTCTATGAATGTTCATGTACAAATACTTGTGTAGACTAATGTTTTCATTTCTCATGGGTAAGTACCTGGGAATGAAACTGCTAGGTCATATGTTGTGTGTGTGTGTGTTAGACACTCAGTTGTGTCCGACTCATTGAGACCTCATGGACTGTGGCCTGCCAGGCTTCTCTGTCCATGGAATTCTCCAGGCAAGAATACTGGAGTGGAATATGATAACTCTATGTTTAGCCTTTTAAGGAACTGCCAGACTGTTTCCAAAGCAGCTGCACCATATTACATTATCACTTGAGGGTTCTGATTTCTCTATAACTTTGGCAGTACTTGTTATTGTCTGTTTTTTAGATAGCCAGTTAAGTGGATTTGAAGATATCCCATTGTGGTTTTGGTTTGCACTTCCACAATGAGTAATGTTGTTGAACATCATTTCGTATGCTTATGTTGGCCATTTGTGTATTATCTTTGGAGAAATGTCTATTCAGATCTTTTGCCCAGTTTTAAATTATTTGTATTTTTATTAAGTTGTAAGACATTTTTCTATATTGTCATTACGAGTCCCATAATGAATATATAATTTGCAGAAATTTTCTCCCATTCTGTGAATGGTTTTTGCATTTTTTCCATTACCTTTTACTTTTTATTTTGTTTTACTTTTTTTTATAGGGTTATAGTTGGTTTATACTGCTGTGTCAATTTCTGCTGTATAGCAGAGTGCATCTTCCATACATACACATATGCCTCCTCTTTTTTGGATTTCCTTCCCATTTAGGTCACCACAGAGCACAGAGCAGAGTTCCCTGTGTCATACAGTAGGTTCTCATTTGTTACCTACTTTATATATAGTAGTGTATATATATGAATCACAGTTTCCCAATTCATCCTGCCCCCACCCCTGCCTTCTTTTCACTTTCTTGATGGTGAGAACCATTTCTTTTAGACACCTTCCCCTCTTGTGTGTGTTTGTCTTATCAAGTAGTCCTACCTGCCATTGCCATGCTGGCTTAGGTAACAAAAGCTTCCTGTTTTGACATTTGTTGATTTCTCTCAGGCCCACCCTTCTCTGAAAACCCCTTTTCCGAATTCGTCCTTCTGTTTCTCAGTTCACACACAAAAAATCCCAAAACTTCCATTTCATATGTCAGTAGCTTGGTGTGATTGAAAACCTCGTAGATATAGGCCATTTTGTTTCTTTTCCTAACATGAAGTGTTTTGGTTTTTTTTTTGAAGGATAATTGCTTTCCAGAGTTTTGTTGTTTTCTGTCAAACCTCAACATGAATCAGCCCTGGGTATACATATATCCCCTCCCTTTTCAACTTCCCTCCCATCTCCCTCCCCATTAAATTCTAAGACATTTTTTTGTCTTACAGCTCCCTCCCTCCCCCTCACCAGGTTGATACAGAGCCCCTGAGCCCCTGTTTGAGTTTCCTGAGCCATACAGCAAATTCCCGTTGGCTTTCTATTTTACATATGGTAAAGTAAGTTTCCATGTTACTCTTTCCATACATCTCACCCTCTCCTCCCCTTTCCCCATGTCCATAAGTCTATTCTCTATGTCTGTTTCTCCATTGTTGCCCTGTAAATAAATTCTTCAGAACCATTTTTCTAGATGCTGTATATGTGTGTTAGAATACAATATTTATCTTTCTCTTTCTGACTCACTTCACTCTGTATAATAGGTTCTAGGTTCATCCACCTCATCAGAATTGACTCAAATGCGTTCCTTTTTATGGCTGAGTAATATTCCATTGTGTGTATGTACCACAACTTCTTCATCCATTCATCTGTCAATAGGCATCTAGGTTGCTTCCATGTTCTAGCTGTTGTAAATAGTGCTGCAGTGAACAATGGGATACATATTACATGTGTCTTTTTCAATTTTGATTTCTTCAGATTATATGCCTAGAAGTGGGATTGCTGGGTCATATGGTGATTTTATTCCTAGTTTTTAAAGAATCTCCATACTGTCTTCCATAGTTTCTGTATCAGTTTACATTCCAACCAACAGTGCAAGAGCATTCCCTTTTCTCCACACCCTCTCTAGCATTTATTGTTTGTAGACTTTTTGATGATGGCCATTCTGACTGGTGTGAGATGATATCTCATTGTGGTTTTGATTTGCTTTTCTCTAATAATGAGCGATGCTGAGCATCTTTTCATGTGTTTGTTAGCCATCTGTATGTCTTCTTTGGAGAAATGTCTGTTTAGGTCTTTTTCCCACTTATTGATTGGCTTGTTTGCTTTTCTGGTGTTGACTTATGTGAGCTTCTTGTATATTTTGGAAATTAATCCTTTGTCAGTTGTTTCATTTGCTATTATTTTATCCCATTCCAAGGGTTGTCTTTTCACCTTGGTTATAGTTTCTTTTGCTGTGCAAAAGCCTTTTATGTTTAATCAGGTCCCACTTGTTTACTTTTGTTTTTCTTTCCATTACTTTAGGAGATGGGTCATAGAGAATCTTGCTTTGATTTATGTCATCAAGTGTTCTGCCTATGTTTTCCTCTTAAGAGTTTTATAGTTTCTGGCCTTACATTTAGGTCATTAATCCATTTTGAGTTTATGTTTGTGTATGGTGTTAGGAAGTGTTCTAATTTCATTCTTTTACATGTAGCTGTCCGGTTTTTCCAGCACCATTTACTTAAGAGGCTGTCTTAACCCCATTGTATTTTCTTGCCTCCTTTGTCAAAAATAAGGTACCCATGAGTGTATATGTTTATTTCTGGGCTTTCTATCTTGTTCCATTGGTCTATATTTCTGTTTTTGTGCCAGTACTATACTGTCTTGATGACTGTGGCTTTGTAGTATAATCTGAAGTCAGGAAGGTGGATTCCTCAAGCTGCATTCTTCTTTCTCAAGACTTGTTTGGCTATTTGGGGTCTTTTGTGTTTCCATATGAATTGTGATATTTTTTGTTCTAGTTCTGTGAAAAATAACATTGGTAATTTGATAGGGATCGCATTGACTCTGTAGATTGAGTTTGGTAGTATAGTCATTTTCATAAAATTGATTTTTTTGTACCCAGGAACATGAAATACCTCTCCATCTGTTTATGTTGTCTTTGATTTCTTTCATTAGTGTCTTATAATTTTCTGTGTACAGTTCTTCCTAACATGAAGTTTTTTGTTTTCCGAATTAGTAAAGGTGATCATGCTGAGAAAAGTAGAACTTCTGTATATTTCCTTTCATATTTTAAAAATAATTTATTTATTTTGGCTGTGAGGGGGTCTTTCTTGCTGCCCAGGCTTTTCTCTAGTTGCAGAGAGCTCGGGCAGCTCTCAGATTGTGCACAGGCTTCTCACTGCAGTGGCTTCTCTTGTTGTGGAGCACAGGCTCTAGGGTGCCCAGGTTTTAGTAGTTGCCACACATGGGCTTAGTAGTGCGGCTTCTGGGCTTTGGAGCACAGACCGAATAGTTGAGGCATACAGGTTTAGTTGCTTCGCAGCATATGGGATCTTTCCAGACCAGATTTGAACCTGTGTCTCCTTCACTGGCAGGTGGATTCTTCACCACTGGGTCACTAGGGAAGCCCCTCCTTTCAAATTTCAGAAAAAATACTTTTTTGGAACGTAGATGTGTACATTCTGTTCATTACTGACAAAGTTTGTGTTGGCGTTTTTAAATATAGTAGGAATTTCTTCTTCTTGACAAATTTAACTTTGCTTAATAATTTTAACTTGTAAACTAACTTTCTGTTCCTTGCTTACTCTATGTTCTTGATAATGAA